TTGAGCACCTTTCGAGCTGCAGGGTCTTAGTGGTTCAGGACTTCAGGTGTTCAGTAGTTGAAGTTGAAGGCTGAGAAGCCCCAGCCTCAGCATGCCGCTGACACCATCACAAAAGCAATGCCTTTTGCTGTCACTAAAGCTTGCCTTTTTTGGTGCTACTCTGGCATCTGTGGTGGAAGATCCTGCACTTTCCTGTGGCCAGAGAGATTTGGATGTTGTGGAGATTTTTTCAGAAGCAAAATCTATTGTCCACGCTGCCAGAGAGAAGGGGTTTTGTGCAGAAGCATATGACTTGACTCATGGCCAGGATAGCGTTTGTGCAAGGAGTGGATTCTGGTCAGTTGTAAGATTGGTGATGCGATTGAAGCCTGGTGGCCTGGCGCACATGGCGCCAGAATGCAAAACATTTGGCTTTGCATGTAGGAACCAGAACCAAAGGACCACGAAAAATCCAGAGGGCAATGTTGCTTGGGAAGCTGTGTGTGATGGCAACTTGGCATGCATGTTTTGGCTTCATAGTCCTCACTGTCAGAGTTTGCAAGGGTCAGTGGCATGCACCATCTGCCAGCTGCACCAACTTAGGCAATTTCATGGCCAGGCTTTCAGTCTTTCTGTTCTGCCTGGCACTGCTTCGTGACGCCGAAGCTTCTATAGAGAATCCAGCTGGATCTATGATCTTCACCTTCCTAGATGAGCACATCAGCCAGGGGCTCAGCCAACCAAGACTGATGACAATCACTTCTCTTATTATTCAACTTGCAAAATCCTGACACACCAACCTTGGTCAGGAATTTTGACGAGCCTATCTGTTGTGCATTACCACTTGCTTGACCGGTGCGCTTATGACAACACTCCTGGCCAAAAGATGCTCAAGAAGTACAAATTCATGTGTTCTGGTGGGTGGCTGGAGGCATCTGTCCGAAAATGCTCATGCAGCAGGCAGCATGAGCCTTTGATGCTGAAAAGAATGACTGATGATGGAAAGCTGAAAACTGATGGGAGACAGAACCTTTTACAGCAGTCTGGCCTTTATCCACCTGCTCTTGGCCAGGCAATTGTGGCAGCATGGATGCAAATGTCAACTTGGAAGCCGCAAGTCCCCATCAACAAGCAGCATGCAGTGGAAGATGATCCTTGGGGAGGCCCTGCCAGCACAACCTCTAAAAAGAAGCTGAAGCAAAGCCAGAAGACAGAGGAGGTGGACCCATGGTCATCCGGTGACCCTTGGGAGTGCGAGGTTGCCACAGCTCCTGCACAAGTTTTTGATCCTTGGGCTGCTAATGACACTGTCACAGAAGCTGACCCATGGGCTTGATCAGGTGTTCAGGAGTTCAGGAGTTCTAGCAGCTCTTGCCCTTGATAGTGTACAAGTGTCTTGCGAGAGAAGCATAAAGACTTCAAGACTGTGAACATTGTGGGGCAAAGCATGGAATGCAGTTTGAAGCCTTGTCCATGTGCAACACATGTTAGTCATGACTGCCTGGCTCAAGTGTTGAGAAAGTATTTTGGCAGATTTTTGCACTTTCCATGGCTCCAAAGAGGAGCCGAAAGAGAAAAGCAGAAGTGCCTGAGCCAGACCCGTGGAATGATTCCTGGAATGGGGAGGAAGAGGACCCCTGGGCTCATGAGACTCACCAGAACCAGAGTGAAGATCCATGGCGGTTTGTTGCTGAGGATGACGTTCCAGCTGATGGTGACAGCATGTTGGTGGAGAATCCATGGGCTAGCAATCCAGGGAGCAAGCTCACCACCCATAACTCTCAGATCCATTTGGATGCTGCTCTTAGGCTTGCTTCGGATTTGGCACCAATTGCAAAAGAGGCCAGCCAGTATGACACAAATGGAGCATGCCCAGAGCGACTAGGTTGTGTTCTCTCATCTAACTGCAAGCGGAAGCACTGTGCACGCCCAGGATGCAAAGCAGGTGTAATTTCACATCAAGAAGTTTGCAGTTTCATGGAGAAGTGGGTCAAGCTGCCACTTCCTGACAGAAGCCATCTCCTGCGTTGCAACTACTACCAAGACAATAGCGTGATTGCCAGAGATGCTGAAGCAGTGAAGGAGACAGTGGAGTGGCACATGTGTGGCTATGCAATTTGCTTTCAGAGGTTTTGTGAGATTCTTGGAAGTAGTCAAAGAACAGTCCGCAGGCTGATCAGTGGGCAGCCAGATTTGAGATTGTCTAAGTCGGGCTTTGGTAGCCAATCCCGGGCGGCAGTGCAGACTGCCAAATGTGACCATTTTTTCCGGACACTCCATGCGTCAGCTGCTGAGCCAATGCCAGAGGAGGCCCAAATGTACCCCAAGGCAAAACAACTGGGCAGTCATTCAGGAGTTCAGGTGTCCAGGAGTTCAGGGGTTCAGAAGAGAGACATGACCAGCATTGATGCATGGGAGCATTGGAGCTATGACTGGCTCAGCATGCCTCCAGCAGATGTTCAAGCAGCAGAGAAGGCTCACTGTGGCACCTTGGGCTTGCCTATAAGATACATTCAACATCAAAGGTTGATTGATCTATACTGGCAGTTTACAGCTGAATGGGACATTCATGTTGAGAGAAATCCAGGAGATGGTGAGTGCCCTGCTTTCCAGACATTTGCGAAGCGCTATTACAGCCACTGGCGCTATGTGCTGGTCATGAGAAAGATTTCTCAGCATGGTCAATGCAAAACCTGCTTTGACTTTCATTCTGTGCTCAGGAGCCCAAAAGCTGATTGGAGCACCAAGGTGCCTAGGCCAAATCAGCTGGTAAATATTTTGTCGGTTTTATTTATTCACTTATTGTTAATGTTGATGTGGCAAATAAATCATTTCTGGGCCACTCCAGCCAAGATTCGAGCTGCCCGCAGTCTTCGAGAGCATCAACGACACCAGTACTTAGACCGTACACTTTATTGGGGTTTACGATTCTCTTCAGTGCACGACCAGGAAGTGCTGACTGTGATTATTGATGGCATGGGTAAGTGGGGGACAGCATGGCCCCATTTAGGCCAAGACAAGCCTTCCAAAGAGCTTGACAACATTGTCCGCCCAAAGCTTGTGATCACAGCTGCACTATGCCACGGATGGGGGACCTTCTTGTTCGGCGCATCAGAGCTCGAAAACCATGGAGCTGAGCCTTGCTAGGTAAAAGAGCAATCTGGTGTCTATCAATTTTTCTTATTTGGTTTCCAAGAAAAGCTTGAAGCAGCCCAAAGCTGAGGATCACTGGTGTGAGGTGGTTTGCCGTGTCCTGGACATGGTGTGGAAGATAGCTGAGAGGGATGGCCGGAGAGTGCCACCTCATTTAGTTCTTGTGGCTGACAACACCCCAGCACAGTGTCACAACCAGCTGGCCATGAGACCTTTGATTTACCTCACTGCCAAAGAGTACTTCACCTCCATCACTATGTTCCACCTTATGGTGGGACATACACATGAGGCCACTGCTCAAATCCATACATTGGCCACAGCTTCTCTCAGCCTTTTGCATCCTGCCAGGATGTTGACCAGTTGTTTGGTGTGATCAAGGACTGACTGGGTTTGTATGCTGCACTGATTTGGCAACTCACAATTTAACTTCATAGCCACAGCCGAATTGCTCTGGTTTGCTTGCAAAAGCTGTTGCAGGCTATACTGATTGGCCTTCGCAAGTGGCAGACTCCAGATGCCATGCTTGATCACATCAAGGCAAAACTGGAACCAAGGGTCGCTGCCCGGAAGGAGGTGCTGATGACAAACATGATTCAAGGAGTTCATGACTTCAGTGCTTGGTTGGACCCACTGGGAGTTGATTTGCCCTTAGTTGGCTGTGAAGCTGCTTCCTTTGTGGCGCAACATGGTTTGAATTTTGTGTGGCGCTAAGGATATTTGGAACTGCTTCAAGCCTCGTGCTGGCATTCCCACCCCTCATTGCTTCATGTGCATGAAGGGCAAGAATCTGCCAAGAAAGTATGCAGTGATGCTTGAGGAGCCAAAAGAGGATGAGGCAGTCTACTGTTGCGTCAAAGGCTTTGTCCGTGACACTTGCTTGTTGCAGCCGCCTGTTTACCTTTCACCACCTGGACGACATACTGCCATTCGAGAAAGCCAGCCTGGCCAGCTCATTGGCAAGAAAGAAATGTCTGAGAGTGAGATCCAGAGCTACATCAAATTAGCTCAGTTGTGCAAAACCAAGTTTGACATGCCAGAAGCTGCGGATGCGCTTCACAAATTTGTGCGTGAGAGACACTATGAGAGTGTTCAGTTTCAGTTTCTTGCCCACCCACATAGGGCAAGATATGGTGTAGTTAGGGAACAGCCAGCTGGCACCAACGTTCATTTCCCTTTTTTGCCAGACACAACCTGGCATATGTGTGCAAGGGTAGCTTAGCCCAGGAGTTCAGGTGTTCAGCATTTCAGGGGTTCAGCACTAGAAGGGAGTGCTGATGGGAGACTTACTGAGCCACGAACTGCAGCAAAGAATCGAGACTTGCGTACAAGCTGTGAAACGTTTGAGCCTACAATGATTTTTTTTGTGCAACATAGGTTGCTTAAGCTAGGGGTCTCCTATTATTAGGTAAAAAACAGTTCAAAATAAAAAACAGTAAATATGTTTTAGAGGAGACCCCTCCCTAGATTTGCAGGGTTGCAATTGAGCAATGCTGTTGAGAAACAATCAAGCAGCAACAGAGCATGTCCTTCCAAGCCTTGGCTCCAGGAGTTTGTAGGAGTTCAGGTGTTCAGTGCAGAGCCTTGTGGAATGGCTCTTTCCACTGAGGCACATTTATGTTTTTGATTTTGCTGGCTTATGTGTTTCTTGTTGCTTGCCACGCCCAATCATGCCAAAGCCAGGAGAAGTTGAATCAGTGGTATGGCAAGATCTTTGCACAGCTGCAAGCTGACATGAGTGACAGCAGTCTTGCTTCAGTGCATGAGTGGATGGAGAGAACTTTTCCAAACACAACTGCCAAGAACCAACTGATGACAGATTTTTCCAATCTGGAGTCAGAATGCCGAAAGATTTTGGCAGCCCCAGACAATGGAACAATCACTTCTGATGTTCCAGAAGTTCTGGTCCACAATGATGTGCCAGTCCGCTTCAAAATCAGGTTGCACAACTTTGGCTTCTTGGAGGACTCACAGCTGAAGGGGCCAGTTCAGTCTTATGCTGTGAGCCTTGGGTTGCATGCATGTTTGGCCAAGCATGGGCATGTCAATATCCATGTTGCTAGCTTGTTCAGCAAGATTCCAGGATTGGTTCAGCTTAGGAGGGACAACATCCAGAAGTTCATGACCAATCAGAAGGGCAACCAAACCAACAAATACCCCCTGGAGATCCTCTTTGACTATGTTTGCAAGCTCAACCAGCATCCAGTGAAGCCAGGTTCAGTGATTCCGGCGTTCAGCATCGCCATGTTCATTGGCAGCTCGACCATCATGTCATCATTCTTGCTGTGCATCTATGCTTGCAAGCTCAAGATTATTGACGCAGTGAAGGGCGACCTAAAGCTCGAGCGCGAGGTGGCTACAAGGTTGCTGAGTTGCTTGGTGATTCACTGCACAGCTGTTACTGCCACCAATCATGATCAGGCAATGCTGAATGCATTTGCCCAGAAGCGGGAGGCTTTGACGCGCGTCCAACCTTCTTTGTTCCAGCACTACAGTGTCTACCAAAGAATTCTGGCCAAGAGACCACCAGCCAGAGGGCCTTGGTCTCAGCTGTTTATAACAAGTTTTGGCTGCTTTCAGGAGTCCAGGAGTTGAGGAGTCCAGGAGTTTCAGTTGTTCTTCACTTGTGTGCCTGAGGACTCGAGATGCGCGTCTCCGCAGCATCATGGTGGAGCAGAACAAGTTGAGTGTCACTAAAGCCAAGATCCACAGCAATGAGATGACAGCGATCCTTTTGCTAGATTCAGCTGGTCCAGGTTTTCAGAAGATCATTGCCAAGGCTCACATGGCTGACCAGCCGCAGGACACTGCCTTTCCCCTCTCGCTCTTGAACAAAGACTTCCTGCAGCCGACTTTCCCCAATCCAGTGAGACTTGGCTTCACAAGAATGCATTGGCCTGGATCTTTTTGATGGATTCAGATCTTGTTTGTTCCTGATGTTGCAACTTCCAAGGAAGAAGGAGGATAACCCCCCTGTGGCATGCCATCCATGAGCACAGCTGGGACAAAGTCACTACTTGGGCTCAGCGTGTTTCAGGAAAATGGGATCACCGCATGCAGCAAGCCCTGAAAGCTGGCCAGGCGTTGAGCTACAAGAATGGTGCAGTGGCCGCCGACATGCGTGACAGCGGCAAAGAGTTGAATGTGTGGTACATGGCACAAGCCATGTGTTACTTTGATGACCATTTCCAAAAAGCTCTGAAGCCAGACAGATTTGACCAAGTCAAATCAGATTGGCTGGCTGGCAAGCTGGACACACAGATTTTGCCAGCAGTCCTCGCCAAGAGAAAGGACTTCCAACCGCGCGACTTCCAGTTCGTCTTGCTGGAGCAACAGGATGCCTTGTCTGGACTGAACTTCTTGAGTTTAGGCAGTTCAGAGAAGCAGGAATCCCTCCAACGCTTGCACAAGCAACTGGGGCAAGAACAGAAAGCCTGGCGAGCCCACATGGCAAAGGTCAAGGCGCATGAGGACAGCTCCATGGGTTCCTTCAACCGCCAAGTATCTCGACAACAGGAGGCCTTGGAGGAGGCATGGCAGGAGCAGAGCGCAAAGTTCATTCAGGTGTTCAGCTGTGCAGATGTTGCTGGTGCAATACTCCTGGTCAATCAAGCAAAGGCCATGATTGCTGACGAGCAGCTGAAGGATGCAAGTGGCATCCCATGTATTTTTGAATGGAACTTTCCAAAGGCTGGAGCAAGAGCCAGCAAACTGATCCCAGCAGTGGCAAGCACCATTGCAGTGTCATGCAGTGAGAATCCAAAGACAGTCATCCATGTTGTCATTCCACCCGGCCAGCCAGTGTATGGCAAGGGAGACTCTGCTGGAGATGAACGAATTGCCAGCATCGAGGACCACGTGAACAATTTGTGGCAGCAGCTCAACGATCCATCCCACCGTCTTTCTGTGCGCAAAGTCAATGCACTGTGGAACTCAGAGACCTTTTACTCCTCCGACAGAGAGTTGGGTTTTGAGGTATGGCTTGTCCTTGCAGAGTCGACCAGGGATGTGAGCAAAAGCACCCGCTCCTACAACAATGTCTTTGGCAACAGCAGCCTTCTCAAGAGAGGTGCCTTCCCCTTCCTCCTCAATGCGATGGAAAGGAAAGATTTTCAGAACTGGAAAGCCCCACTGGGGTTTGACCAGGGCAACGTGGCCCATGGACAGGACACAGCACAGTGGTTTTCAGGAGTTCAGGTGTTCTGTAGTTCAATCACTGAGCTGTGCAAGGGGTCCATTCTCCAGAAGGATGATTTCCTGC